AGGATTCCTAGACAAAGTGTGCAGGGAGGACAGGCAAAGACTTCCCCTTCTTTCACCAGGCCAGCAGAGCTGACCATGCATGGGGGAGAGGGTATGGTGAGCATAGAGTGTAATAGTAGCTGTGCTTCCTCTATGTCCCATGAAGCATTGTGCTTGCCTCCAGGAATGCCTGCTTAGGCGATGCACTTCTGCATTCTCAATGCAGCCAGTTGTTTATAGGTCACAATTGGGCCCTAAGTGACATGCTCAAGGTCACACTGGAAGTCTGTGGCAGAGCCAAGAATAGGATGTAATGTGGCTAACCCCCCAGTCTGTACTTTAAGCACAAGACCATTCCTTTCCCTTCATTACTAGACATGGAGACTCAGCAGATCTCTTTTCAATTCCCCATCTTTTAGAGATTTGTGCAGTTAAGGGCCTGAGTGTCTCACTTTGTTGCCTCATGTAGCTAGTGGCTGCTCTGCTAAACTCTTTGTAAGACATACCACAAATTAACCATTAAGAGACATAGGTTGAGAATATCAAGCTAAATTTCAAGGCCTAGAACATATGAGGCATTACAGCTGAAAACTGTAGTGCTGCCATGCTGTGTAGGTTATAGAAATGCTTTTGTGACTCCTAGGGGAATAGTAAAGCTATGAACCAAGCTCTTTGCCCTTCCTCCCCTCTTTTTCTATGATGTAACTTGACATGACCAATGGAGTCAGACATGCTATGTTAACCTGCAATAAATCTGATAAAACATGGTCTTCTGTAAAAGAAAACATGGGGGAGGTTGTGATCTCTAGAATTCTGAAGACAGCTTTCAGACTTGACATTGGGAGTAAAGATTTCCCTCTAAATTGTACTGATGCAAACTGATTTGCTTGGCATTTTGCTTAGCCTTCTCAGAGTCTGAAGTAAAGTAACTGTTACTTTTAGATATTGACAATACATCACAGTTAGCATAAAATTACATTACACCCAAAACCACAAATAAAAACAAATATAATTTAGAGTTTTGACCCTAATATAGACTCTGCAAAGGCTGAATTTGCAAAATACATGTTGTTATTAGATCCTCATTCACCCTAATGAGGATCAGCTGAATTTTAACAAGCATTGTTTCAACTGCTTGGTGGCTGCTATATGATAAGCATTCTCAACTGTAGTGTTATAAGTATAACCAGCAGGCCTCCAGATGCTTTTATGGAGGAATTGGTAAGGTACAAGTGACACTGTGGTTGCTTGTTAAAAAAGTATAGAACTGTCTGTGTCTGAAAGCTCATGATGCTGGTGTTGACGTTATCAGTGGCAACATGTCATAGTGATACAGGCTAACAGAACATAGGACATGTTAGGAACAGAAAGAGGCTGTATGGTTCAATACAAAAGCCATTTTCTGGGTTATATTAATCCAGTCTTCCTGCTTTTTCACCATAAATCCCCTCTATCTCCAAAAACAAACCTAGGTGTCTCAAGAATTTGTTTATATATTGTGGTGAAGCTGCCCTCCCCTGTAATTTATACCATATGGTTATTACATTTAGTTTTGGCTTAGATCCTGATCTACAGTCTAAACTATAAATGGATGTCATTTAAAAAAAATCCCTCTTTTTTTCGTTGACAGACACTTCAACCCTGAGGCATCTAAATACTGACCATTGCACCAATATATATTACTTTGTAGGACTGTCATTTTTCATTTCATTCAACATTTCTTCAGTTCTTCTGCCTTATTGTGACTGATATGGAAACTTGCTTCTAAGTCAGGGGGATGAAACACATGGCCTTTTTCAAAGTCATTGTCTATTCATGCCACTATTTAGGGCTCTCATCTTGGTCCCTTGGAAGAGTAGGCCCTACATAACATTATTACCACTAAAGTTATGATTTATTATTTGTTTAGGTTACCACATGTTTTGTGCTGTACAAGAAACAGCTTCTGCCCTCAGCTTACAATCTAAGGCCCTGATCTTGCAAGTTACTCCAGGACTTCTGTGCCTGCCCAGAGTAGCTTGTAGGACTGTGACATAAAAGGCAGGCATAGATAAGAATGAAACACACTGGGAAATCCAGAAAAGGGAATAACTTACTTTTAAAGGTATATTTATTAATGAACTCTGCACGTGGGCATTATGGAAGAAGTGTTCTTTTCAGGAGGGATCTAAATGTGGAAAGAATGGTTATTCTGAGTGGCCTGGATGTGTTTAAACATTTCTTCTCTCCATTTATCCTAAACATTTCACCCTTCCACAATGTACAGTGCTTTGTCTCCAGTGGTCTAGGAGCAGAAGTTCAACTCTCCATATTTTATAGGGATTTTCTTCCTTCCTCAGAGGGCCAAATCCTGCACTCGGTTACACCACCACAACCATATTGACAAAACTTAATTTGATGCCATTTTTTTACCACCGTATATAGGATCACAGTGTGAATCCAAAGTATTATTGCTTTTGAAAAGGAGAACTTTTAGAAAGATTGTTAGAAAGCAATACAATACCCTGGGATCACACTGTTAATGGATCACCTCACCTCAGGTGTATCCTCTGCTTGAAGGTCTGATGTTAAAGACATCTCTAAGGTTACATAGGGCAAAGCTGGGAGGTTAAAAATCATTGAAAATATCTTTGGTAGATGGTTTTTGCACTAAGAGATTTAAATGGTCATAAACATTTTTGTTCCATTTAGGACTTCAACTTTATTCTCCCCATTGGCAAAATTATTTCCGCTCCTCAATAGGGATTACTTAGTCACACCGACAATCCCTAGACCCTAGTCTGTACTTGTTTCAAATGAGGATGTCCCATCCACAGCACAAAATGGAGAGGAGAATTTTGTCCTAAGAGAAAGTATTGACACGTGATTTTGAACTGATGTTATGCAGATATTCTGTAGAAAACAGAATTCATGGAGTGCAATAAACTGTTGACCAGTCATCATTTCAGATTTCTGACAGTTATTGTTAGAATTAATTAAGAGCTTTACAAATGAGCCTTGTATTGAACAAAGATGTGTACAAATAGGGTTAAAGGCCACTGTGGAGTAATGTTGTTCGTAATTCTAACCAGGATTGTGACCTACTACTCTTCCACAAGTGGACATGGAAGGAATGATGATATTTCAGGAGGAGACCTTGACTTTGTCTGCATGGTCAGGGTATGGAAGAAGAAAAAACAACAATTATTGATCTTTCTTGCGCAAAGAGAAACATTTGCCAACATTTTGTGAGAAGGAAAGAGGATAGGCTCATCAAGAGACAAGAGGTTTACAGTTTAAGCAATAAGTATGACAGGCAAAAACATTTTTTTGCAATTATAGCATGCTTTAGGAGAGGGCATAAGAGACAAGACCAAAAGATGTGTGACACAAACCACCCCTGCAGTACTATAACCATCCTGATGCACACTGCCTGGGATGTTTTATTAGGGTTGAGTGAATAGTTCAGATTAAAAGACAAAATAAATAAAAGACTATTAGTACTAGCCTCATGAGAAACTAAGGCTCCGGTTTAGCAAAGCAGTTAGGCATCTGCTCAACTCATCCCTGTTCAGCAAAGTACCTATGTATGTGCTTAAGTCTCATCAAAGTTTAACTAACCATGTGGTTAACTGCTTTTCTGAATTAGGTCTCCATCCTGCATTGTGGTCCATGTGAGCAAATAGCTGCACCCACGCAGAACCCCACGGCCATCCATGTGGCTTCATATGGGTGCTGTGGTCCAGCCACACAGATGCCAATGCAGAATGAGGGCCTAAATCCAGTGGATCACTGGCAGTGCAGAAGAATCAACACGTAAACAAAATATAGTAGTTATTCTGGGGAGAAGAGTATGGCTGGCCTCTAGGGAGAAAAGGCGGGGCACGGGATGGAGGGGTAGGAAAAGAATGGGAAATGATAGAACGGGAGTAAAGAAGGGCAGGAAGGGGTTTAATTTCTTTTTAAAAATCCAGTATATCTTCCAATAATTTAAGAAATATTTTTCCTTCCCTTTCATTTAACAATGTCAGTATTTTGGAGCATTAATGGCAACTATATGGTTTCTGACATTATTTATTATTTGTACTGCAGTAGCACTTAGAGACTTCAACCAGCTCAGAGCCCCCTTGTGCTATAGGTGTTGTAGTGACAATGCAATATAAAAAATGTGAGTATAATGCTGTTCTTTAAAAAATGAATTGGGTAATGGCAATATAGTATTTTAATGAAAACACAGAAATGCGATTTAAAAAGAATATAGATACAGTAGTTTGTTTTTACAAAAGCAGGAAAGCTTAAAAAGGGAAACAATTCTGAATAGCTTTAGAACTGTGAACACAATTGTAACATCATTCTGTCTACTTATAAGAACGTAAGAATGACCATAATGGGTTAGAACAGTGGTCCATGTAGCCCAGTGTCCTGTTTCTGACAGCGGGCAATGCTAGATGCTTCAGAGAGAATGGACAGATAAAGGTAATTTCGAGTGAGTCACTCCTGTCGTCCAGTCCCAGATTCTGGCAGTTGGAGGTTAAGGGACACTTGGAGCATGGGGTTGTGTCCCTGACACTCTTGGCTAATAGCCATTGATGGACCTATCCTCCATGAATTTATGTAATTCTTTTTTGAACCCAGTTATACTTTTTGGCCTTCACAACATCCCATGGCAACGAGTTCTGCAGGTTGATTGTGCGTTGTGTGTGAAGAAATACTTCCTTTTGTTTTAAAACCTGCTGCCTATTAATTTCATCAGGTGACCCCTAGTTCTTGTGTTATGGGGAGAGGTAAATAACACTTCCCTGTTCTCTTTCTCCACACCAGTCGTGATTTTATAGACCTCTGTCATATCCCCCCTTAGTTTTCTCTTTTCTAAGATGAACAGTACCACTCTTTTTTATTCTCTCCTCCTGTGGAAGCTGTTCCACATCCCTAATCCTTGTTCATCTCTGCACCTTTTCCAATTCTAATATATCTTCTTTGAGATGAGGCGACCGAACTGAAGGCAGTATGCAAGGGGTAAGTGTACAATGGATTTCTATAGTGGCATTGTGATATTTTCTGTCATCTTATATAACCCTTTCCTAATGGTTCCTAACATTCTGTTAGCCCTGGTCTACACTAGGACTTTAGGTCGAATTTAGCAGCGTTAAATCGATGTAAACCTGCACCCGTCCACACAATGAAGCCCTTTATTTCGACTTAAAGGGCTCTTAAAATCGATTTCCTTACTCCACCCCTGACAAGTGGATTAGCGCTTAAATCGACCTTGCCGGCTCGAATTTGGGGTACTGTGGACACAATTCGATGGTATTGGCCTCCGGGAGCTATCCCAGAGTGCTCCATTGTGACCGCTCTGGACAGCACTCTCAACTCAGATGCACTGGCCAGGTAGACAGGAAAAGAACCGCGAACTTTTAAATCTCATTTCCTGTTTGGCCAGCGTGGCAAGCTGCAGGTGACCATGCAGAGCTCATCAGCACAGGTGACCATGATGGAGTCCCAGAATCGCAAAAGAGCTCCAGCATGGACCGAACGGGAGGTACGGGATCTGATCGCTGTTTGGGGAGAGGAATCCGTGCTATCAGAACTCCGTTCCAGTTTTCGAAATGCCAAAACCTTTGTCAAAATCTCCCAGGGCAGGAAGGACAGAGGCCATAACAGGGACCCAAAGCAGTGCCACGTGAAACTGAAGGAGCTGAGGCAAGCCTACCAGAAAACCAGAGAGGCGAACGGCCGCTCCGGGTCAGAGCCCCAAACATGCCGCTTCTATGATGAGCTGCATGCCATTTTAGGGGGTTCAGCCACCACTACCCCAGCCGTGTTGTTTGACTCCTTCAATGGAGATGGAGGCAATACAGAAGCAGGTTTTGGGGACAAAGAAGATGATGATGATGATGAGGTTGTAGATAGCTCACAGCAAGCAAGCGGAGAAACTGGTTTTCCCAACAGCAAGGAACTGTTTCTCACCCTGGACCTGGAGCCAGTACCCCCCGAACCCACCCAAGGCTGCCTCCTGGACCCAGCAGGCAGAGAAGGGACCTCTGGTGAGTGTACCTTTTAAAATACTATACATGGTTTAAAAGCAAGCATGTGAAAGGATTACTTTGCCCTGGCATTCGCGGTTCTCCTAGATGTAGTCCTAAAGCCTTTGCAAAAGGTTTCTGGGGAGGGCAGCCTTATTGTGTCCTTCATGGTAGGACACTTTACCACTCCAGGCCAGTAACACGTACTCGGGAATCATTGTAGAACAAAGCATTGCAGTGTATGTTTGCTGGCATTCAAACAACATCCGTTCTTTATCTCTCTGTGTTATCCTCAGGAGAGTGAGATATAATTCATGGTCACCTGGTTGAAATAGAGTGCTTTTCTTCAGGGGACAGTCAGAGGAGCCCATTCCTGCTGGGCTGTTTGCCTGTGGCTAAACAGAAATGTTCCCCGCTGTTAGCCACAGGGAGGGGGGAGGGTTGAGGGGGTAGCCACGCGGTGGGGGGAGGCAAAATGCGACCTTGTAACGAAAGCACATGTGCTATGTATGTAATGTTAACAGCAAGGATTACCCTGAAAGAGTGTAGCCACTGTTTTATAAAATGTGTCTTTTTAAATACCGCTGTCCCTTTTTTTTTCTCCACCAGCTGCATGTGTTTCAATGATCACAGGATCTTCTCCTTCCCAGAGGCTAGTGAAGCTTAGAAAGAAAAAAAAACGCACTCGCGATGAAATGTTCTCCGAGCTCATGCTGTCCTCCCACACTGACAGAGCACAGACGAATGCGTGGAGGCAAATAATGTCAGAGTGCAGGAAAGCACAAAATGACCGGGAGGAGAGGTGGCCGGCTGAAGAGAGTAAGTGGCGGGCTGAAGAGAGTAAGTGGCGGGCTGAAGAGAGGGCTGAAGCTCAAATGTGGCGGCAGCGTGATGAGAGGAGGCAGGATTCAATGCTGAGGCTGCTGGAGGACCAAACCAGTATGCTCCAGTGTATGGTTGAGCTGCAGAAAAGGCAGCTGGAGCACAGACTGCCACTGCAGCCCCTCTGTAACCAACCGCCCTCCTCCCCAAGTTCCATAGCCTCCACACCCAGACGCCCAAGAACGCGGTGGGGGGGCCTCCGGCCAACCAGCCACTCCACCACAGAGGATTGCCCAAAAATAAGAAGGCTGTCATTCAATAAATTTTAAAGTTGTAAACTTTTAAAGTGCTGTGCTTAAAGTGCTGTGTGGCATTTTCCTTCCCACCTCCACCACCCCTCCTGGGCTACCTTGGTAGTCATCCCCCTATTTGTGTGATGAATGAATAAAGAATGCATGAATGTGAAGCAACAATGACTTTATTGCCTCTGCAAGCGGTGATTGAAGGGAGGAGGGGCGGGTGGTTAGCTTACAGGGAAGTAGAGTGAACCAAGGGGCGGGGGGTTTCATCAAGGAGAAACAAACAGAACTTTCACACCGTAGCCTGGCCAGTCACGAAACTGGTTTTCAAAGCTTCTCTGATGCGTACCGCGCCCTCCTGTGCTCTTCTAACCGCCCTGGTGTCTGGCTGCGCGTAACCAGCAGCCAGGCGATTTGCCTCAACCTCCCACCCCACCATAAACGTCTCCCCCTTACTCTCACAGATATTGTGGAGCACACAGCAAGCAGTAATAACAGTGGGAATATTGGTTTCGCTGAGGTCTAAGCGAGTCAGTAAACTGCGCCAGCGCGCCTTTAAACGTCCAAATGCACATTCTACCACCATTCTGCACTTGCTCAGCCTGTAGTTGAACAGCTCCTGACTACTGTCCAGGCTGCCTGTGTACGGCTTCATGAGCCATGGCATTAAGGGGTAGGCTGGGTCCCCAAGGATACATATATGCATTTCAACATCCCCAACAGTAATTTTCTGGTCTGGGAATAAAGTCCCTTCCTGCAGCTTTTGAAACAGACCAGAGTTCCTGAAGATGCGAGCGTCATGCACCTTTCCCGGCCATCCCATGTTGATGTTGGTGAAACGTCCCTTGTGATCCACCAGAGCTTGCAGCACTATTGAAAAGTACCCCTTGCGGTTTATGTACTCGGCGGCTTGGTGCTCCGGTGCCAAGATGGGGATATGGGTTCCGTCTATGGCCCCACCACAGTTAGGGAATCCCATTGCAGCAAAGCCATCCACTATGACCTGCACATTTCCCAGGGTCACTACCCTTGATATCAGCAGATCTTTGATTGTGTGGGCTACTTGCATTACAGCAGCCCCCACAGTAGATTTGCCCACTCCAAATTGATTCCCAACTGACCGGTAGCTGTCTGGCGTTGCAAGCTTCCACAGGGCTATCGCCACTCGCTTCTCAACTGTGAGGGCTGCTCTCATCTTGGTATTCATGCGCCTCAGGGCAGGGGAAAGCAAGTCACAAAGTTCCATGAAAGTGCCCTTACGCATGCGAAAGTTTCGCAGCCACTGGGAATCGTCCCAGACCTGCAACACTATGTGGTCCCACCAGTCTGTGCTTGTTTCCCGAGCCCAGAATCGGTGTTCCACAGCATGAACCTGCCCCATTAGCACCATGATGCATGCATTGGCAGGGCCCATGCTTTCAGAGAAATCTGTGTCCATGTCCTGATCACTCACGTGACCGCGCTGACATCGCCTCCTCGCCCGGTATCGCTTTGCCAGGTTCTGGTGCTGCATATACTGCTGGATAATGCGTGTGGTGTTTAATGTGCTCCTAATTGCCAAAGTGAGCTGAGCGGCCTCCATGCTTGCCTTGGTATGGTGTCCGCACAGAAAAAAGGCGCGGAACGATTGTCTGCCGTTGCTCTGACGGAGGGAGGGGCGACTGACGACACGGCTTACAGGGTTGGCTTCAGGGAGCTAAAATCAACAAAGGGGGTGTCTTTACATCAAGGAATTTTTCAGGCAGGACTTCACAGAGGGTTCCAATAAGAAATGGTGCACCTAAGTTATCGTTCTTATTGGAACAAGGAGGTTAGCCTGGCCTCTGATTGATACATGGCTAGATTTACCTCACTGCACCTTCTCTGTGAGTGACTGCAGTGTGACCTAGAGGAATGAGTCCCCTAGACAGGGGAGGAGGCAAATGAGTACAAAACAAATCTGGTCTATTTCTTGTTTTGATCCACTCCATCTATCTTTTACATCTTTGGCTGGCAGCAGACGGTGCAGAAGGACTGCATGCCATCCACATCTCATGGCTGCTTGGCAGAAGATGGTACAGTACGACTGCTAGCCATCCTCATCTCTTGCCTGCCTGGCAGAAGATGGTACAGTACGACTGCTAGCAGTCCGTATCGCCTGCCTGCTCACCATAAGACGGTTCAATAGGACTGACTGCAGGACTAAAGAGAATGACCTGGTCAAGTCACTCCAAATTTAGTCCCTGCGCCCATGTCTGCCCAGGCGCTCCCAGCCGACGTGGCCAGGAGCACCTCGGACACGATGAGGACGACTACCAGTCATACTGCACCGTCTGCTGCCAGAAGGCAATGGGTTGCTGCTACTGTGTAGCAAAGCCGTACCGCATCTGCCAACACCCAGGAGACATAGGGTGATGGTTACCTGAGCGGGCTCCATGCTTGCCATGGTATGGCATCTGCACAGGTAACTCAGGAAAAAAGGCGCGAAACGATTGTCTGCCCTTGCTTTCACGGAGGGAGGGAGGGAACGGGGGCCTGACGATATGTACCCAGAACCACCCGCGACAATGTTTTAGCCCCATCAGGCATTGGGATCTCAACCCAGAATTCCAATGGGCAGCGGAGACTGCGGGAACTGTGGGATAGCTATCCACAGTGCAACGCTCCAGAAGTCGACTCTAGCCTCGGTACTGTGGAAGCACTCCGCCGAGTTAATGCACTTAATGCACTTAGAGCATTTTCTGTGGGGACACACACACTCGAATATATAAAACCGATTTCTAAAAAACCGACTTCTATAAATTCGACCTTATTCCGTAGTGTAGACATACCCTTAGTGTTTTTGACTGCTGCTGTACACTGAACAGATGTTTTAAGTGAACTATCTGCAATGACTCCAAGATCTCTTTCTTGAGTAGTAACAGCGAATTTAGACACTTTCTAAATTGTATGTATAATTGGGATTATTTTTTCCAAGGTGCATTACTTTGCACTTATCAACATTGAATTTTATCTGCCATTTTGTCCTTCAGACAACCAGTTTTAAAAGATTGCTTTTTGTAATGTCATACCAATAATAACAACTTGAGGGTGCATCCTGTTCACAATAACTGTGCCCTGGGCCGAACAAACTGGAGGCTTAAAAGATGTGGGTTTTTGGTATCGTCAAGATAAGGGGTGCAGCAGCACCCCTAGTTCCAGCACCTATGCATGGTAGGATATAAATCCCTTCACAGCTAACTGGTAACAATGCTGCCCAAGTAGGTAGTATCCAAAAGTTTTTACTGTGTGAAGACTGTTCCGTAGCCTCTGTGTCACAACTTTCAGTTCCTAGTACAGAAAAGCATTACAAAAAGCATCATTTGGCAACCTCAGCAAAAAGGATAAGGAACGCATAAGCATAAAATGTTTACTAACTTCACAACTCTTGCAGTGTTCCTTGTAGTTCAAGGTTGAGGCATATTGGTGGGGCAGTGCGAAGCCTGGTATTTGTTCTATGGATAATTAAAGGACTGGAATTTCCAGGAATGGCTTATCTGGCACCTTCCAGGAGAACTAAGTTCCTGTTGAAAGTGTAAGTGGTGAGTGATGAAAGCGGTGACCAGTGGAATGACATTGCATTGTCTAAAATATGACATTTCATATTTGAAATGTGGCAGCATTTCCTTCTGGAGGTGATTCTTTTGAGAAGGACGTCACAGTTTAGTGGCTTGGTATATTTAGATATGTAGCATGTCGCAGAAGCTAAACAGTGCAGATTTTGATTTAGGTTCTAGTCCAATATGCTAGTAATTGTAATATAAGAACACTGTCGTGCCAGTGACTTCTCAGTTGCATATACTAGGACTTGGAAACAAGGTCTTCAGTCTCATTGGGGTTATATGGATGTGCAATTTCAAATAAAAAATGAACCATAATAAGGCAACTGTCTTCAAGTAAGCCCCCAAGAAAATACACCATAATTTTATCCATAAATTTGTCATTTTTGTGGTACTGCTACAGCTATAAAACAGATATTTAAGTGATAGCTTATTAAGTTAAAACTGTAATGCTTTTAAACCTGTCATAACCTTAGCTACAGTGAACACTAAAGATGGTCTTTACCTGAAATGTTAGTCTACAGAATGTATGACTATTTTAAAGTGATGTATATACAGTAGTATTATAATCATACTTTAGGCAGTACGGTCCCAATCCTGCACGGTGCTGAGCACCTGCAACTACTACTACTAAGGCAGGAGCCAAGGGCTCTCAACACCTCACAGAAGTACTCAGCACCTTGCAGGAATTGGCCCTATACTAATATTTTTACCCATTGATCCTTCTTGGGAAACTCAAATTCATTTTGTTTAGAGTTACCCAAGGGTGTTGTGGCATGGAGGTGTGGATGTGTGAGGGGAGTGGGCAGAAAAGAGAGGATGCGTTCACATATTTATTTCTCAGAACACAAAGTTTTTGCTCTGATTACAAGTTGCAAATGAAATTTACTTAGATTACTGAATGGCATGAAAAAGATTGATAATTACTGTAACCTGTACCAGTGCAAAGAGTAGAATCAAGACTGTAAGTTAAAAATGTACTGCGGCTGCCATGGTGTGTGATCTGTCCGTCATGTACCCATCACTGTGGATTGTGTGCAAGTCACACCACTGCTGTGTACCCCAGTTTACCTCTTTGGGTGTGGAATTTTGTGTGACTTAAATTGTTAGTAAGGTGCTTTGAGATCCTTAAATGAAATGCACTGTGTATTGCATTGTGTAAATGATTATTAATGATTAAATGAATGGAATACTTTAAGCTATATGCATCATATTGATTGGTATGTGTGTGTGTGTGTGTGTATATATATATATATATATATATTTTTTTTTTAATTTGGATACAAAGAGCTCAATTCACCCCTTCTGATATAACACGATGTACAGCGAACACCCTTGCACTAGTGAGAGCTATTGCACACCAGGGCAATTCACCCCATGGGACACTAGGCAGCTCTCTCACCATCACTTTCCTTTAGGATTTCACCAGAGGAGGGTAGCTTTAAATTGGCCTCGTCCCTCCATGGGAAGCCCCATCAGTGGAGCCTACCTGAGACTATGCTAATTAATTGTATTTGTCAGGTGCTTTGGTTATGTTCCTTTCCAAGCCAGCACTGCCCAGTTTGTTGGCCAGTTACAGGCTCCCAGAGGAGGGCGATTTGTAGGCATCCCTCACTGATGCAACCCCCTTTCCTCAACTTTCCCCTACGGAGGGCACTGAGTCCTCAATGGAAGTCCGCTTACATTGGCCTGAGTCAAGACCCAAAAATATAAACAAAGTCTCTCTTACCCAGATAGAGGACCAGAGGGAGGAGTAAGGACACAGGAGTCCTCTGCAAAGGTTGCTCTGTTCCTATGAGCGGACAAGGATGTCACTCAATAGCTCCTGTAGTCCCAGAAAAACTCCAACTCACTTCTCCCTGTGGACAGGAGAGGAGTTAGCAGGACAC